GATTTTCTCAAACCGGAAAGGCTGCTTCAGATGGAAAGGCTGCCATTTCCAAGAGTTTAAATGTCTTTATATATATATATATGTATGTTTATATTATATATATATACAGTGTGTATATATGTATATATATATGTACATACATACATATATCCTTTTTAGGGTAGCATCATGTTGCACTCATATAGAGGTACCATTCTCCGACAGTAATTTCAAGCAGTCTTGGGCCGACGTAGAATCCTTGGCTACGTTATTATCGTCACTTTGGATACATCCCTGCCTCCGAAACTGTATGCTCAATGCTAGTGCAAGAACGCGGCTGAAATCTGTAGTGATACAACCTTTTAACAATTCATCAAAGATATCACCTCTACTCTAGCAATAGTTATAATATAAAGCCCCTATAAATGGCTTTATAAGCGTATAAATGTCATATAAACCACGACCAACCATCAGCCACGGCGCGGCCGGTTCCCTCCCACCAGCTGCCTGGTAGGAAAGTCCCAAGCCACCCTGGCCCCAACAAAGTTTGCGGTACTCCCAGGTATGCAACCACCTATCATGTCAGTATCTACCTGTAATTATGTATATGTATTATGTGTCTACTATAATATATATATATATATATACATAGTTGCACATGTATACACACTTCCATGTACCATACCTCTTAGTAGCACAATGCCATGTTTCTGAGGACCTGTCACCCCTTTCCGCCGATTCCTCACTAGTGGACAGAACGGGATAAAACTGCTTAAGTGACAACATATACCTTCCAAGGATTGATTAGTGAGCTGAGAACTCCAGGAAAGTCACCTCGCTCTGACTTGGGGAATCTATGGCTACCAATGAAGTCAGAAAGGATGTCAAGGATTCTGAGTGAATCCCCACAACTGGGATATCTCAAAAGTTACAAGCTGAAGAGCTGCACCTCGCCGTAGCTCATGGATGCTCCTGCGGAGAGCAGGGAAAACCTGCAAGAACAAACCTGCGGCGATCCCAAAAATAATGTGGGAAACTAAATGCCATAAACCTACCATTTGGGGATGATAGTTACCAACCATTTTTAGTGATTTTGGGGATGATTTATTCTTGGGTTTACCACATTAGAGGCAGTTCCTGCAAAATGTCCCGCAAACCAAGTCTTCAAGTCAACGATTTCACGAACTTCCATGGCATGTACGAAGTGCGCAAGGCAAGATCCAGAAAGTTGTATCCAACAAACCAAACAAATCCACATAAAATGCCGGGTGACAAGGTTTCTTGGCAAAATGGTTACCAAAACCACCAGATGTGGGTCGGATTTTGGACTCGAAAAGTTCTCGCAATGTCAATGGCCAGTCAGCATGGCCAACCTCAGCCACCCAGCAAGAACCCAATGCATAGCTCTTTTAAAATGAACCGCAAAAAGAAAGCCTACCCAACCAAGCTCTGCCAACGGTCGAAGACAGCATCTACCCAAAGAGACACTTCTCGATATCTCCTGCAGCATCCATGGCACGCAAGACTGTATCGGTACTTCCACCTGGGCATTGCAGCATTCTCCGAGTGCTGATTTTACGGATGACCTATTGGACTGGTTTCATGGCCTGCTAACGGGCTGAGGATCTGGAACAATGAAAAAATGATGGAATCCAACCCATGCCCTGGCTCTTTTTAGCTGTGTTGGATATCCCCAACGTCACGGGTTACACGGGTTATCGAACTATGGGCAAACCTACCATGTTTTTCACGTTCAATTTTGTTCACCGTCAAACCCGGGTATCCCATTTGTGCGGGCTGAAATCCCCATCGTTTTTTGGACCGACAAATCCAGAATAGTTGATGCTCAAAAATGCAATCAACCCATGTTCAAGTTTCCACAAACCCATATTTCACGGTCCAATGAGAGTTTCCCGAAAAAAAATCACCGCAAATCATTCAGAGTCAGAATCAGAATCAGTCAAAATGTTCAACAGGAAGCCAATAGCGAAAAGGGGACCTTCATTTTGGCAATGGTCTGAAAATAGGGAAACACCCAAAATATCCATCAAATAGTTGGAAAAATCATTTTCTCAACCATCAAATCTGGATGTGGTTCACAAAATAAAACAGAGGCTATCATGTGCTTCGCAAACTCCAAGTAGCTCCGTGGTTCCCCAAAAAAATATCTCAGCTCACCGCTGCAAACCACTGGATAGTCCCATTGTGTTCCCATTCAATCCTGAATCCCATGCATGTCCCCATACGATGGTTGGTTTTATGCCCCAAATCTAGTTGGTAAATTGCATCATTGATATTTGTCCATTTATAATGTATAATATATTTCATATACAATATATACACATAAGCACGATGATTGACAATCGAATTACCCATCTAATGGGATCATAATATCCCAAACAGATGCCGAAAAAGTCTACCACCATTAAATCTCATGAAAAATCCCTATTTGTTGATGGTAACCATTATTGATCATATTATATCATGTGTATATTTAAATAATCATATCCTTATCATAATATGATGACAATTACAATAGAAATGACATGATAATCATTATATGATCCCATTTATAATCATAATCCCTATTGTACCATGATTATTTCTATAATATCCCTATCATAGTATCCCTATAATATCATGTCCTATCATCCCTATCATATCATTTCCTATCATATCCCTATCATATCATGCTCATAATAACAGTACTGTGGCTAAAACAATAATAAACCAACCATTTTGGGAATGGTAAAAATACCACCTATAGAAATGGTGATGACTGGGGATGGTAACCATTATTAATCTAATATTCTATCATGTGTATAGTTAGATACTTATCATACCCCCATCACAATATGGCTATGGGTCAAAACCCTGGTACCTAGTGAACCTTCAAATAGCTGGTAAATGGATGTTCATCCCACTAAAAATGTATCTATAGGTATTGACCCATACCCATATGACTATGATCACATTCTATCCATTTCTATCCCAACTTGTCCCCACCGCGTCTCGCCCACTCTGCTTCGCACCTCCCTCCACCGCCAGCTTCGCCGCACCGCGCAGCTGCGCTAAGCCTTTCTGCGCCAGCTCCCGGCGCTGCAGCCGTGAGGACCTCGGTGGCGGACCGACAATGACGATGAAACGCTGGAAAAAACTCGGAAAATGCCCGAGAAAAATGACGGAAAGCTTGGGAAATGATGGAAAGCTTGGAAAATGCTGATAAAAAATCATGAAAATCATCGGAAAGTATTGGAAACTATGGAAATAAGGCTGAAATGTTGGAAAAAATGGAATGGAATTCTGTTTTAGGAAAAACAAAAACAAAATGAAGATACAAAATTGGAACAAATGGGATGATGAAGATCATCAGAATCATCAAATTCATATATGCCACAAACCTTCATAAACGATTCTTGGCCAGGAACAGGCCATCGGAATTCAGGAATTGGGCATCAAAATTTGGGATGCTTGACCATCAGGATTCAACATGATTGGCAGCCTACCCCTCAAACATATGAAAATCACCTAGGATCATGCTTCTGCATTCAATTTGAGATTAATAGAATCAGAATATGTTTGAAATGTGGGAAGCACCCAGAATCACCGTTCATGTCAGCCTGCGAAGAGGAATTGTGTGTGTAGTTGGGACTGCTTTACATCGGCGTCAACTTCAGTGAGTTGCTGAAATCGAAATGGGGCGAATGTCATCGTGGCTCAGGGCTACACGGAGGGGAAAAGACACAAGACCAAAATGACCAAGACAAACGAAATCAATGATGAAATCAACGACTATGTGCTGTAAATCTATGTTACATTGTTTAACCATGTTCAACCTTGCCCAAAAAGGATCACCCGAAACCTGTTCAACTAAGCTCTTCGTCTTTTTTGGGGTGGCCCCATCTGTGTTTGTCTACAACTAGGATATACTTATATACTCCAAAATCCCATTGTTGATCATCTTTTTTTAACTGGAACATCCCCATGAGCATACTGTTGAATAGTGATATCCCATGAGATACCCATCTTCTTTGTTTTTTTATGCCCCAAGTTTTTAGGTCTCTTCAACCCGCCATCGACCCATCACAACTTTCGGCTCCCAACGTGATGCACACCTTGTCCAGGGTCATCCGTACCTAGCAGCTGAGGCCGATGGAATGACGATGGGGGAGTCAATGAAACGTTGGGGGGAAGTTCCATCAACAAACCTTGGCACTTTGGGTTCTAACCATCAAAAACCCATCCAAAATGGTTCCCTTGATGGATCAACCCATCCAAGAATTCCATAGAATTCCATAGAATTTGCCAGTGAAACTAACATGTTGCTATGAACAAATCACCATTTTTCATGGGTAAATCCACTATAAATCCACTACAAAAATCACCATTAATCCATGGAATCCCCCTTGGTTTTTCATCTCCAAGGCACCCGATAGTAGCAGCCGACTGCCGTCTTGACCTCTGCCATCAGAGGAGGTCAAGGGCCCAAAATGGCTACGTTTTGAACTGCGAAATAATGGGGTTCGAACCAGAAAAACCCAGCAAAACTGAATGGATAGAATCTCATCCATATCACATTGAGATCCATGAATAAATCCAGTGCAAGACCAGGCGATTTTGAACTCAGGTGATGTTCCAGTCCTGGACCTGAGTCCTCGCCTGAGGTCCCAACACACCAAATGTTGCCACGCAGACTTCGTGAAGTCGCCCCCTTGGTGTCGTTGCTACCCAAAAAAACAGCCAGTGTCATCAGGCCGATGGCTGGGAAATCCCCGATCCCATGGTTTCTCCTGAAATTCCCCTGCTAGTCAATGGCCATGATATGGCCATATGTCTCTCATTTTGACACAAATCCAAGTGGAGTAAGGCATCCTATGGTGATCTAAACACACATAGCTATGGACATACTGCCAGAATTATTGATTGCATCCCTATTGAAAATGGTGATTTTCCATAGTTTTCGGAGTTTACCAGAGGCTATATATACACCCATCCATGACCGTTTCAACGCCGCGACTTTTGGTGACGCAGCTCGGCGTCACTGGTGCTGAGCTGTGCCTTTTTTGGCCTGGGCAACTGGCAGTGATCTCACCGTCAAACTGAGTTGATGGCATTCGTGTGGAAAACGCCGCAAGAATAAAGGAGAGTCGAAGCACTACCAATATAGCATATAGATGCATATATAGCGTCTACATAGCACAATATAGCCTATGAAAAAAGGAGCTATGCTCCAAAAAACGAAGTGTGGACAAAGAGTTTGATGACCTGGATGGCTGCAGTGCTCGTACCCTCCGCTGTGTTGGCTCCCCATGATCAAGACTTGGGATTGACAGAAACTTGAAAAATCCACGCAACCAATAAGAATGAATAAGAGACCTTGTCCCACCAAAAAAATCCGGAATCCTGACTGAATTGACTAAACCCTCGCTGGTGGACATCCCATCTTTCCAAAGTCACAGAGTTCCCCCACCTTTCCCCCACCTTTCCGCGCCTGCAATCGCTCGAGCTGTGTTCTGGCTTCGGATTTTGGGAAGTTCCTGGCACTTCGGATCCACGGTTGGATACTCATGGGGTTGAAGCAACCAGAAAAATTGCTGATATAAATGGGATTTCATGGGATACATCAACCACCAAATTGATCTGATACCCATGACTTGTCCACAAATAGAGAATACCCCATAAAGCACCCATTTGAATGAGGAAAAATAATGATGAATATATACATTTATAACGTTATATATATGTAATATTATGTATCTATAATATTGTATATATATATATACGTGTATGTAATCAAATTTGCGGGTACACCATCCCCAGACGAACCCATACGTCACCAATAAGAATTATTCAAACACGAACTGGACATGTCACCACTTAGAGGTTCGACCTGCAAATTTTACCAGGGCATAGTATGACCAACAACACTTAGTGCAAATACAAGCATGCAACCAGCAAGAATTAAGAATGGGGGTGTGAACCAGTCTTGACCTATCAAAACAATGTGCAAGCACCAGGTGGGGTGGTATCATCATAATTACAGCTAGGCACATACGGGAATTGAAAAGAAATCAGGATTTTTCAGTGTTTTCAGCTGGGCGAATCTTCACCAAGGCGAATCCCCAAGATCTGCTCTCGCCTCACATCGTAGTAGCTGGGAGCGATCTCCAGCAACCATTCACCGCGGACCTCCCCGATCCCACCGGATCCCATCCGACGAGTTTCTGCAGGTCGAAGTCACGCTCGCGCCTGGGTCACGGTCCGGATGAAGTTCTTGGAAGTCAGCACAAACTCGTGGTACAGCACCTTCCAAATGCTCAGGGTCATGGGGACTGGGGCAAGATCTGACTCAAACAAGGAACCCAAAAAATGCTTCTCCTAGTAGGAAACTAATCTTCAAATCTTTTCAAATCCAAAACTTGACAAAGTGGATGTGTCTGAAAATAGGGTACCCCCAAATTCTCTGGTTAATCATCGTTTATATACCCTGTTAAACATGTCGAGAAATGAGCTAAACCCAATTTTCTGCTGCTCAGAGCATCCAGGGCCCTGGGTTTTGGGGTTTGAAGCTACCATCTTCATTTGCACAAGCAAAACTGTGTTGCTGTCCCCAAACAATGGAAAGGATGGAAGGATAATAGAATATATAATAGCATAAAAGGATGAAAGAATGAAAGGAGAAGAGATGAGAAGAGAGGAGACGAGCAGAGAGGAGAGGAGGTGAGGTGAAGTGAGATCAACTAAGGTAAGGCAAGGTAAGATACAATGCGATTGGATTTGATCAGATTGGGTTAGATTAGATTAGATTCGACCAGACTAGATTAGACTATAGTACATAGACTAATTCTAGAGATAGCGAGATTTAGGGATACACAGACCTAGAGATATATAGAGAATCTAGAGAGATCTAGAGAGATCTAGAGAGATATGTATAGCGAGAGGGAAAGAGAGAGAGAGAGAGAAAAAAAAATGTCCCGACAAAGAGATACCCTCCGGTAATCAAACATGGCTAGCTGGAAAATCCACCATTTACAGATCATTTTCCCATGAAAACCCTCTGTTTTTAAATAGGAGGGTATATGCATGTGTGTATATATATAGTATATGTTCCGCTATGGTGCCTCAAAGTCAGAAAAAAAAACAGAAAATAATTCCCCATTGTTCACTGACTAAAAACAATAAAATCCAGATGTTTCGGTGGTCGTATCACTGAAATTCCCATAGCACCACTTTTCACCATGTCCGAGGTCGACACCCACTCGGGCTTGTGGGTGATCCCCGTAGATGGATGGAGCGCCACCACCTGGTTGTCGCGGACCTCAAAGACGCGCGGCCTTTCGAAGGGAGCTGCCAACCATGCTGTGGGGCTTCAAACAAATTGAACATGCATACACATACCGATTTGCTTGTGCGCACACATATATATATATATATACAGACGTGCATATCTATGTGTATGTATATATATATACTGTATATTATATATATACTGTATATTATATATATATATCTTTGTGCGTGTGTGAAGACGTTGCAAGCCCCAGAGATCAATCATCCATCATTCAAGCCACAGTACCTCCGGCCGATGCTACCTCCCAAAAATGGAGGAAAGGGTCTGATATCCACTCTGTGGATCTAAATATCACCAATATTCACAAATAAAAACTAAACCCAAAGTTTTCCAACATTTTTTTCCACAACACTGCTGGCCCCTATGCCAAAAACATCCAGGTTCAAGAGGCGGTCAAGTAGTGACTGCTCTTCTCCAAATGTGCCACCTGCATGAAGTATCCTGCCACCAAGCACTTTCCTCGGCACAACCCTTGACTGGGGACCTTGGGAACTGTACCCAAGGGTAGTAGTGGTCAAGGGGGATTGATACATACAGTATATTATATGCATACATGCAGACTGGTGTATTTCAAACTGTGTATGTATAACTATGTACACATGTATGTATACATATTATATATACAGTATTTATATTATATATATATACGCTGAGACTGGTACGCTCATACGACCCCCAAAGCGCTTCATGATCTGGAGTGGGCTCCAAGCGGTGGGCTCCCAGGAATCCTAAGTGGCTTACTTCACCCCAGTTAATTCAGCAAGGAAAGTGAAGCCACAGATCCGAACTGGGTTTTTTGTCACGGTCAGCCATTTTAATGGCTGAACGACCAATAGACCAGATTGGATGCCCAAAAATACCATCTGGTTATTTAACATAGCGATGGTATAAATGGCCTAGTTATAGAGGTTTACCGTTCTTAAGAATGGTGATTTTCCATGGCTTTGGCACAAATAACCAGATGGTAAGTCAAACCTTAGCAACAAGTCACTGCTTCACCAAGTCAGTGCACACCACCTCCCAAGTCAGTGCCTAGGTGCTGATGTTGGGATAGTACTCCTGCCACGTTGCCGTTGCCGTTCACGGTCTGACTATGGGATGAGCATACGTTATATCGCCACATCGACCCTGATATGTTCCTATCAGGTATATTACCAAATCCAATCCTTGGAGGATTCATCATGATTCATATACTTTGATAAATCTTTGATATCAGTACATAAACAATCATAAACATCCAATTCTGGGGTTTTGCAATAAATTCGTGGGAATACTTGATCCATAGCAAAGTGCCTAACCACTTTGTAGCTTGTGCCAGCCGAGCCATAATGCACCTCTGATTTATATATTGTCGTTGCACCCACCAAAGTGAAGTGGGTGGATTTCACGTTCATGCTGAAATGACTCACTTTATCACCCCTAATTGTTAACAGCAATATGTCAACAAGAGTCTGGATTATTGGAATATGCCCTTCAATCATTGCTAGAATTGAGCCCTTCACCAACCATTTGCATCTCCAAAGCCACGTCGGGGTGCCGTATCAAACCCCCATGTTTCACTTGCTAAATCTCAGGTTGAAAATTCAAAAACATCTCAAACTACAGTACCAACCAGATTGTTTGCTGACTAAACCCCTATTCATTCTTTAGTCACCAACAACCACAGATTCGCAACTCGCAACGGGCCTTGTCTCTGAAGTCAGTACTCACCATTGGCCTTGGCAGCACACCAGCGGCTGGGTCATTTCTGGTACCGCAGCCAGAAATGGTTTGGATTTTGAAAGGAACTCAAGAAACAGTGGATGTTGATTACAGTATATATAAATATTATATAATACCAGGTATATACAATGCCAGCTTTTTGGATGTTAATTCAATGGGCCGATCCTAACTTTTTGCCGAAAGGACTGTCCTCACACATGATGACAACGGTCAAACCTCCCTGTGTAAGCGCCCTGGCAGCTGCAGTCGCTCCATGGTCCGCTTCAGCTGCTCTCGGACGTTTTCAGCAGATTTCATGGACCTGCGAAAACGAAAAAGGATCCACAGGGGGTATGATTCCTTCTGCTTCAACATCAGCTTTTTGGGTGATTCAAACTCACATTTTTAAGTATTACCAGTTGGTTCCGACTGGGTGATCTCTAGAGTTCATGGAGTAAATTGTGATTGACTGTGATATCGGGCGGCTGATGTCTGGGATGCAGTGGAATATACCGTAACATATCCCAGTTCGCTTCGGGATTAAATGTCAGGGAGCATCACATTGTGAGAAGGTTCCACAGAATGATGTTCGCAAACTCGGACAAAATGGCGTACATTGAAGGGAAGATCTTTGGACCCTTGATTGAACTGTAGCCGAAACGCCTACGTGAGGTACCATTGCGGTATATGCAAAAACTGGAGGTACCTATGCAATACATGTACATGACAAAGTTCACCTAGCGTCGTTTCTCCATGGTATAACTACCCATACCAGGAAGGGGATTCATACTGACACTCGAGGGGAGAATATGGGCGAATTACTCCAGAAATTGGACTTAGAATTAAAAAACAAAAACAAACATTCAAGTGGTGAATCCCTTCTAGAAAAAAAATGATGATCCAAAATAGGCATTTATGATATTTTGTTCTCAATGTGGAACTAGTTGTTCCTTTTATCTGATGGTCAGGTCGAAAAACATTGGCGTTTCCTGCCTGGAGTTGATGTAGCTGTCATAGCAGAACTGTGCTGGGTCGGCACCCTCGGTGGTATACTGCTTGTACCTCGAAAATTCGCGAAACAAAAATGGACCTTCTTGGGTCATCAGGTACCCCTTGGAGTGGATTGGACATGGTTGGATGGTTGCTCATGACATGTGTTAAAATTAAAAAATCAATTACTTGGTTGATGGGTGTCCCTGGGTTGGTTCATAATCCCCAATCACCAGGTAGCATCACTCCTTATAACCAATCAACAAGGCTATAATTTTAATGGCTCACCTGAAATCTGCCTTCATTTTTTGAAATCAAAAAACCTGGTGGCCAGTCACCTGGACCCAAACCTAGGATGTATGTCTCATTAGTTTCCAGTAGTTTTAACTATACCCCAAAGATGTAGCCTCTTGTACTTGAACATAGCTATGGAAAACTGCCCATTTATGGATGATTTGCACATATCAAAAATTCTGATCTTCCATCGCAGCAGCTATGTTAGTTATTGCCAGAAGGTAAATCCACCAATGATCCACTAATTTCAAGTAATATTCCATTCTATCTCTATTATACCAACATTATACCAGCTATTTGCCCCCATTCAGTTCATGCTTAAGGATTATACCATTATTGTTTCATATTCAATTAATATTCCATTACATACCCTCATTTTGTGGGTAAATTCCCTATGAAGGACCACCATTCCGCGGCACGCATGGAAGACGTTCAGGAGCGTCAAATGGTCACCATCCAAGTGCGTGAAGCGGTTCTTTGCATCGTCGGCTTCCTAAAGGGTGAAGGAAATCCCCCTGAAAAAATATCTTCGGGGAGATTTTGGCAGCAAAGTTTGGGATCTAATCATCACACAAAATGTGGACTTAAGAGCCGGAGGATGTGGATTTCATCCTCAAGAACAGGATTTCATCAGCGAAAATCGGGGGGTGACATACCAAGCAATGTGTTTAATCGTTGAAATCGAATTTAACCAGCAAAAATAGTGATTTGACCAGTAACCAGCAAACATCGGTTACTTTGCTCGGAAAACTGTTGCACCGGTTGCAGGGCGGCGCCTTGCCAAACTCCTTGGGTCTCACGAAGACATTGGGCACGGAGAGCATGGAGGAAATGGACAGAATCTCGTTGCTGCATTTGAATTTGGGCCTAGGTCGGATAGGAACTGCCGTAGGCCGTGACCGGATGGCTACTGTACACATACGTATAGAGTATATAGATATACACAGTATCTATATATAATATGACATAATAATAATATAGTGGGTACAATCTATATTATATAATATACGTCTATATGTGATGTGATATGATATGATATTGTATTATATCATATTTTACTATATTATATGATATCAGATGATATATATATACATGTATTATATGGGGTATATAGTGTCATAAATATAAATCGATCACGTAACGGATATACACAAAGCAGATGGGATTGTCCAGAAAAGGGGATACCCCAGAAAATCCTGCAAATCTATGCAAGTCTTATGGGGAAGAGAAGGTTTTAAATCATGAGATGTTGGGGTACCCTAGTTTCAGACAAACCCCCGTAGGGTCATGGTATGATGTAGAGCCGTAGGGAATCTCGCCAATCGAAAGGTATTTACATAATCGACCCTCTCATTTATAATCAAAAAAACTTAGAACAGTCACATTAAGAATCAGAAATCAATCACAAGCAGGCCTTCCACTGAGTTCCGGACGAATCGATCAGCATCTTTGCCTTGGAAATAGGCAAAGCTCCGTGATCTTCACTGCTGACCATCCAATGGAAGGGCTACCTGTATTCCCTTCATCCACTTCTGGGTTGTATCACCTGCTTTGAGCATCGACAATTATATAACGGGATATGGATGGATATGCTGGGAATCAGTGGCTCCCCCGACCATGGTCCTGATGGCACTTACAGAGATATCCGTAGGACAACTTGGGAAGCAGAATGATGGTTCCAAAATGGGACGATTGGTGGAAGACAGCAACATCTTTGTTTTTTTGGGTGAACCGACCCATCTCAAAGTATTTGTTTTGCGCGTGTCAATGTCCGATCATATTCCGAAGGAGGAACGGAAAGCTTAAAACATGTAACATGAATGAAGCATAATGAAGCCACCAACCAGTTTTGGACGAACGGAATGGACGTTGTTCTCGCTTTTGGACGTGCCCATCTGTAGAATATCTGGGTAAACTCCTGAAATGTTCCTCTTCTAGAGCCTATCTTTCAGACTATAAGTCAAAGTTCACTGACCTACAAAAATGTCTCTCAAAGCAGGTCCCTTACCATTGGATACCATTGGTATGTTGCATTTCATAGATTTTCATCGTCGATTTTTCTGGCTAACCTATGTTAACCTAGCGTCCTCATTTGGGGACAGTAGCCATAAACTTCAACTGTCCGCTGGTAACCGCCCTGATGGCATCACATCCCAGGCGCCAGTTGGGGATCCAAGGGAAACTCCGCCGCCTGGTCGCCGGCATCCGTGAGGTCGCCGTCCTTGGACACAGGTCGGACACAGTGTCAATAGTGTCAATAGTGTCTTTATGTAGAAAAAAAGGATAGAAACACATAGAAACACTATCATTTATCATTGAGGTCGTCGTCATCACCGTCATCATCAGCATCAGAATTATCATCCTCGGCGGCGTCGTCGTCGTCATCTTCATGAGCATGACTATCACTACTATCATCGCTGTCATCATCATCATTGCTAGAATGAAAATAGCAGTGGCCTGGTACTAGAATGATAGTGATTATGATTCCATCGATAATCATCATCGTCAACGTCGACATCACCAAAAATAACATCCGCATTCTCAAGATACATCCTTTTTCGGTAACATCGGTGGCTTTTCCAGGTGCAAATCTGACCCAGCACCATCCAAGGCACGTCATTGAGATGGTTCAAGAAGTTCAGCATCTCCAGCGCTCGCCTCATATCGATACAAACCCTGGGTACGAACGAGTTCGGTTTTATCCTTGAAACATGTCCATTGTCATAGCATCTCCTATTCACCAAGTCTTATCCAGCAAAAAAAAACGACGCCCTTTGTTGGGTTGTCTCCAAATTCGTACTTCCAAAAAAAAACACATGTTTATCATCATGATTTCTATTAAAATGGCCAGGCATGCTGAGAAATCCTGTGTTATGCATATATATATATATATATGTACATATATATATATATACACGTATGTGTGTGTATTGTCATGCATTTCATTTCATATTGGTTTCTTCACCATGCAAAACGACCCCAGGCCACGTGGCATCATCGTCTCCGGCGCAGGTGGATCCAAGAAATCAAAGTGCACCAAATCGTCGATGCCCAACTTTTTCAAGGTCAGCACCTGAATCTGGGTCGCAGTTTCAGGGACTCTCCCAGGTGAGACGTCCACAACTCCGCTACTGTGGTGAACTCAACACAAATCAGGTGTTCTTGACCCAATAGTATATGATTTGCCATTTGAATCCAAACTTGGGTGTGATTTTTCCCCGATCCAGTGGGGTGATGGTGATCCCAAAGACTCTGGAAATCTGGCCGACGCTGGGGAGCGGCAAAACCTTTTGGCAGTGGAAAATATCCCCAACCCCACGATATTGCCAATGGTATATGCTAAACTTTGAAATCTCCAGGCCGATGGGCTGTCCGAATTTTGCATCCCAAATTTTTCGGAACACGCAGCAGGGAGCAGGAAGATGAGGACAAGATGAACATGATCGGTAAATCCCAATTCACCATGTATATATATATATATATATCACTATATATATATATCACTATATATATATATATCACTATATATATATATCACTATATATATATCACTATATATATATATCACTCTATATATATATCACTCTATATATATATACCAATATAGTATCACTATATTTCAATCCCAATGATCGGTAAATCACTATATATTCACCATCCGAACTGCCCATGGCACCACCACGCCCAGGTTGGATCTCAAGATCTCCGGATATGTCTGTTCCGTGAGCTCCGTAGTGAAGGCCTGCTGGGGGGATAGAGAAATATTTGGAACCATATTAGAATATTATGACATATAATAGTATGATACTAAAGATGCTATGAACTATTCTAACTATATAGTTCTATAATAGTATGATTTTCTAGTTCTATATCGTATAACAAACTGCGTAGTTGTACTGGAACTATCATATAATATGCTACCATCTACAGGTTTATAGCTCCATCCATAGTTCTATAGTTCCATATTGTGGATCAATTATGATGCATTAGATGGTAAATCCATGGTATATTATCCATGGTATATCTAGAACCATATATGAAATACTGTTTTAGATATACCATTGATATAATAATGGCACTATCATATGGAACTATAGAACGATAGATTGTATCATAAATAGTGTAAACATGGAACTAAATCTAGATGGTAATAGATATATTAGATTGTATATCAAAAGATGGAAACTGACATAAATAGAAAGCTATAATATGAGACTATAATAGGAAATAGATTTATAATATAAATATAAAACTTTAAGTTTATCATAAATAATTTTCATATGGGACATATACATATATACCTTGAACTACAGATAGTTTATCATATAGACATCCAAATCCCGGATATGTTTCACAAGAAAAGAGCACCGATTGCACTAGATACTACTATTTATCCACTATGGTGGTGATGGTGGGCATAATAGTCTATATGGTACAATAACTATATATATACAGTACTATGTACATATATATATATGTGTGTATATATATATATTATAGTATTTTGTATACATGTATATATATATATAGAGTTGTGTATGCATGTATATATATAGTTATGTATGCATGTATATATATAGTATTATGTATATATATAGTATTATGTATTTATAGTATTATGTATATACAGTCTTATGTATATATAGTCTTATGCATGGCATATGTACAGAAATGTATATATATATACATATATATAGTATTATGTATATTACATATAGTACAATGTGTATATATTTATATATACACAGTATTATGTGTAGATATAGTAGTATGTATTTATGTAGAATCCTGCGCATATATATATATGTATATGTATATATGTATACATATGCATGTAGTATTATGTGTGTATATATATATGTATGTATGTGTACGTACTGTATATATCATGAGTGTGTGACATTATCCTTTATGGCGTATGGTGTCTATCTGTACATCACTATATAGTTGATGCGGTGCATTCTGCTATTACGTGTATATACATATGTGTATGTAAATGGAGAGAGAAAGAGAGCTTACACATATACAGTTTGTTGATGCTTGTTGATGTGGTAAACCCAAATGCCATGAATCTCTCATTGGAAGTGGCTTTTTTCAACCCCTTGCGTGGCCAATTATGTAAATCCACAATACTGTCAGTTCCTCATGTGTGCTATCTATATATGGATTCATTCTATATAGTTCTTATGCATATAAACTGCCAGATAAAGTATAATGTGTACATATATAGAGAGAGAGAGAGATTCATGTATTTTTATCTCTATTCAATCGCAGAGGTGTCAGAACCAAATACAGGTGTGCCATCACAGCACTTGCTGAGTAGGACTCTACAACCATTCGAGGTTGTTCAAGAGTAAATCATGGCCTAAATCCACTGATTGATTCTCATATTCTCCAATCAAATCGGCAAAAATTGAGGTCCATCCCCCATTCTTAATCACATCCAAATATTACAAAAACAAAAGCTATTGTTGGTTATGTACATATATATATATATCTATTTACATATATATATAATTATATATATATATACTGTATATATATCGTGCTTCAATCTCCCATTAAATTTAAATCCATCGAAAGGTCACCGCAGCAAGGGCCGATCGCCTTCTCAGTGTACAAACCTCGAATCGAGGAGCCGATGTGATTGGATGCCCATCGGTGACATTTCAGGGGATGAGTAGGAATGCAACTGGAAAACTTTACTTCCAAAAAAGGTATTAAAAAAATAGGATATAATAGGAACACTAATTTACTAATGTATAATAATGGTAATAATAGTAGTAGTATGTAAATGTATGTAGTAACAATAGTAACACTAATGGATAGTGATAGTAGGAATAACAATGATAATAATAGTAACAATAATGACAATGATAGTAATACTAGTCGCAAGAGACAAGATTCAAAATCCAATACTGGGGACTATCATGGGATGGTATTATTACTGGATTTAGCTACATTAGCAACATTCAACTCCACAGGACTGAACAATGAAGATTGGGAAGTAACCTCTATACCAAGAAAGAAATTGCGGGTTTGCCACTACTTAGATGATGATATGACATTGGACGTGGCCAAAAGCAGTGGAAACACAAAAGAAGTCACATCACTGCTGATTATATCCAATGTTTCTTGGGAGGTTGGAAAAATTCAACCATTCTCTGTTGTCACTTGTGGCATCTTTAAGTAGGAATGAAAACAAAAATCCAAAATGAACCCCCCAAGAAATCTTGTTGGTAATTTTGTGTTTCTTGATGATTCGTGTCAATTTTCAATCCATTGTGTCTGACTGTCACCAAGGGTCTTAACGAAAAAAATTCCCACCCTGGTAGTTAGATGCATTATCATGGTGAATCTTAGATACCTGACATTTTTTTGCGGGTTAGTACATTTTACCATTGATGGCAAAAGATTTTCCAGTACCAAAGTATCGTGGCCCAAGGTTGACCCAGTTATGTTCCAATTTCATTGGAGATGTGATCATGTTCCATCCGCTATTGCTTGTATCACGATATCAATCGAGGACCCATTGGGTGGCTATAAAATCCCATGTTGAAGAAATGTCCAAAGCCACCTTTCGTTTGGTTCAAGCCACATTAATCACCATTATAATTTGTAATGTTAATCCGTTATATCCCCATCATATCCACATCATATCCCATGATACCAGCATTTCTATTAGTAAATCCCACATGAATCGCCCATTGTTTCATGATTAAATCCCACTGTTCAACCATTTTTGTTGGTTTAAATCCCCATTTTTGGTGAAAAACCACCATTCTTCACCATCCTTGTTGCTTAAATCCCCATTTTTGGATGGTTAAACCACCATTCTTCACCATGTCTGTTGCTTAAGTCCCCATTTTTTCCATGGTCAAACAACGCCCCACCCCGGATTTGATCAACCGCGCTGCGGAAGCACTTGCCCGGCCGCGTGCGTCCGGCGCGCCCGGCGCGCTGCGCCGCAGAGGCCTGGATTGATGAAGTTTATCTAACCATTTTTGGATTATTAGATAAACTGGTGATCATTGATAAATAACCATAGATCATTGATTGTCAGATTATTGATGGACTATTATCTAACAATAATCTGGTTATCTAAAAATCAATTTAAAAAATATGGGATCAGATATAATAATCCATTGATTACAGATAATCTATGTATTAGATTGATTATTATCT